TTAGGTCCGAAACACGTCAAACAACGTCCGATTTCGACCAAACTTCACAGAAAGCGCTTAAAAAATATATAAGACTTGTGCCGGGCATCGGAACCAAAATACGAGCCCGATACCACAGTCTTTTAATAAATTTTCATTCCCATTTTCCTTATTAATTTCAGAAAAACAATTTCACAGAAAAATTCATTTCTCGGGCTCTAGACCTCGGAATTCGACTCCAGCACATGCCCGAGTCCCATATTTTTCTACGGACCTTCCGGGACCGTCCAATCTCGGGTCCGGGTTCGTTTACCAAAAATGTTGACCGAAGTCAACCTTAAATATATTAATATTAAAATTCTTCAAATCTTTCACAGAATTCACATATTTCAACATAAAAGCTTTCCGGCTATGCGCCCGGACTGCGCAAGCAAATCGAGGCAGGTAAAAATAAGGTTTTCAAGGCCTCGGAAGCACGGAACGGATGAGGAAACAGGTGATGACCCTTTGGGTCGTCACAACTAGCATTCAGAATGTGCACGAATCGCATGCCCAACCTTCCAAATAATCAATCAAGTTTTGTGTTAATGATGCCCCTGCAGTAGAAGTTGTCTCTTCTAAATCGTCGTCATCCAAATTTATGATTAAGGCTGTCCCAGCATTTGATGTCCTGCATTTTTTCCCGCCACCTATCATATGCTGCTCCCAGCCATATGTTGACTAATGGCTACATAGTGACTATGCAAATCCAGCCAAATCTATTGTCAGCAACCTCTTAGCTAAACCATACAGCAGATGGTTTAAGGTGGAAAGTGGAAGTCAAATATTCTTAGTTTAGGGGAAGTTTGTTGAGAGTTGGAAATGTGATGTCCTGCACCAAGAGATTTCGAGCATGAGAACAGAGTATTGAAAAATGACTTTTGATTTATAACCATAAGCTACGTCAGTTTCACTTTCTTTGGTCCTCGGTCATTCGCTAAGTCAGGAATTCTCGGTGTTCAAACTTGAAACAACAACAACAACAACCCAGTACACCATTACTAAATAGGCAATGAAGTAAGACTTGCTGTATGAAAATACAACTTCATCTGGAACAAAAGAAAAATAACAAAACATCAGACTACCCTAACTAAAGACAGAGACGAAGCCAAAGGGCTATTTCATAAATCAATCCTTTTCTAATCCCAAATTGTGCAAACAGTAATATTTACTCAAAAGCTAAAGCAACTACAGAAATCAAAAAAAGATATTGTAAATACCTGATAATTTCATCATGTCTAGATTTATCTCAAACCAAATTACGGAAAACTTCTTTATACACCACATTTCTAGCTTCATTCGTTATTTGGCCATCATCATCATAAACTAAAATCTTAAACCCTTTTCTACTCGTCACGCGTGAAAGAGCAATATACAGTTGTCTATGAGTAAATACTGGCTTCTTCAAACCTATGAGTGGCAGAACTATCAAGGCGATCACATTTCTTGCAATGAAATTTACTTCCAATTTTGTCAACCTTCTTCGAGCATCTCTTGCACCCCAAATATGACCATTCTTTTTCAAGTAGAAGATTCACTACAGTCGCAACAATCCAAATATGTCCTTCCTGAAAAGAAGTCAAGTTGTAGCAATGTATCTTGCAAATTTGATTGTTGGAATCTATATATAAATGCCAAGAGCATAAGCTGTGAAAATTCCATTTATGTCCAAAACCAAAAAGATATATGCAATATGTGAAACGTATTTACTTTGAGTTAGAGATGTATCAAAAGTGACATCTGATGCAATATGATTCACATTGGACAATATTTGATCTTTTATCTCACAGTAGTACTTATGTGATAATTGCTCCAAATTTGAAGGAAATGTTCATTGGAGCAGTCTGCTACCTAATCCCTTCTTTGGAAGTTAAAGACTTCTTTCCATTGATGAAAAGATCTTCGTGATGAGAACTAAAGATGGTGCAACAGACGCAATATTCCTTTACATATACAAATGACTTATTATAATATTGTATATCGGGACCGATTTCAAATAACTGGATTTTATAGCCTGTGCATACACAAGAGCTAACCCTGCTTTCCACTGCACCAAGAGTTGATGCTTGGGCTCTAAGTCTTAAAGGGAAGATTTCAGATGTTAATACCCAACAAATAGGACCAATCCATACGAAAAATAATGCTATATTTCCACATACACATAAAATTGCTAATTTGATTCCAACCGAACCATTCAACAGTAAAGAAAGTGTCAGGCCAAGACATATGTCTATAACAAAGGTTTCCTACCAACTTTGTTAAAAAGAAATATGTCTATCAAAATGAATATTGTCTTTGTGAATCCAACCGCAACAATTGCAGCTAATAGTTGAGTGCTACCCTTAATTTCGGCGTCCTCAAAAATTGTTAGACTATAATACACAGTTGCATCTATACCTGTGTTCCCACAACCTGTAATTAGCATTCTTCTAACTGCAGGTATCTAAACTGTGTAATATCCAGATATTATTTTATCTATGTTGTTATATATATTTACTAACCACTAAGCTGCACCATGTAACATGAAATTCTGTCAAAGATCTATGTATTAATGAGTTATTTTGTTAACATGATAACTTTAATGCATATTAAATTTATAACACAAGTAGTGATCCCGAGTCCCTGAATGATAACTGATTGTTTTGATTTTACAATGGCTTCTTTAAATGAAAGAAGTGTATTGGGAAACACAGAACCAATTTCACAAAAAATTAATAACACGAACACACACACAGAGCAAAGCGGAATAAAGTTGTACTTGAATTTCTACAAAACTGTTGACAATGATATACAGCGCAGTATTTGGACATTTAGATCATTGAAATCGCGATCTTCTTTCAAATATCTAACCATTGTTAAGCTCAATGGAAACTATTTTTGATCGACTATATATTTCTGGAATTATGCATGCATTGCCCACATGCATTTAAGATTTGAGGTAAACGGTGACTGTATTTAAAGGTTAATTAGTTAGATAAGTGAAAAATAACAACTAAAATAACATATAAGATTCTGCAATGAAACACCAAAGTGTTCATTAAAAGTGTCTTCAAAATTACACCACATGAATGAGAATGTTCACTACCATGAGAAATGTTTTGGAAAAAGCTAATGTGTTGTGCCTGCAAATTCCTATATATTATGCTAATATGAAACTTACTTCATACACACTCTCATAATTTCTCAAAACTAATCTTATTTCCGTTCAAATAAATGTAGAGTTCATAGCTACTGTGCACCAGAGGAGTGCTGCCATTATGAAGGCTAGGAACCAGATAAAGATAATATCAATATAAAGTAAATATAATACTTCACAAACATATATGATCTGGTACTAACATAGTTTTAGCTTATATTGGAGGTTTCTGCACCTAGGAGACTAATCCTATTTCACATTAGAGATCACATAAATAATCTGTGTGACATTTAATACTGAGCCATGGGATAGCAGATCCAATATTATGACCCAAATATTAGCATTTAATAGCAAAAGTTCGTCCGACTAATCTCAATATCGTTCTCCTCCGCTTCAACAAAGAAGCATATTAGTCACACACAACTACTTGAAAAGCAACTCTTCCCTATTAGTTTAGAACTATCGAATATATCTTGTACAAAGATTAAATAGATTAAATTCTTCAGAAATCTGAACTTCACCAACACATTCATTCAACAACCGATTACTTCAAATAACTAACATGTCGCATAAAAAAATATTATCAGAAAGACTGAAGCCACTGCTGATTAAATTCATGATTCATAAAGATGAATTTAGATCAATATTTACACAATTTTACTCCTGAATGAACTTGCACAAACAGTTTTACAAACATTGTAAATTTTTTTGGCTCCATCTTACAAACATTGTTAATTTTTTTGGCAGAATATGCATATTTTAAGAATTTGCAGTAGTTGCACAGACTAAACGATTGTCAACAACCAGCGTAATTTTTTTGGCAGAATATGCATATTTTTAGAATTTGCAGCAATTGCAGATACATATAGGTGGAACATGATATTTTGTTTCTTAGATTCATTATTAGAATGTATTATATTGGTAATAAATTGTTTGTACTGAAAATTAGTCTACAATTATAAATCAGACATTCGAAATAAAGTAGAAATAAAATTACAACATAATCGCTACAAGTAGATAGTTTCATCTATTTGAGGATTGCTGAAAATTAATAAACAATTGATAAAGTAACATTAGAAACAGAAAAAGAAATAAGGGTACTGTGCAAATTGTTTCACGTGGATAGTTTTATCTATTTGAAAATTTTGGAGCAGAGAACAGGAAGCATAAAAATAAATACATATGTTACTTTTGCATCTTGTAAAATCAACTCTATAGAATATGGTATTTCAGGCTTAAATGATCTGGGATTTTCCACATACTACTCTAACTTTCAAATTTCATTCATCGAGTTGCTTGAAATTTGTCTAATATCATGAAGTTTTGTTGCTATATTTGCAAAGTTCTGTATTCTGAGCAAAGAAAAAAAGGAATAGAAAAGAAATTGAAAGGATGAGCCGCATAAAAAAGATTATTTGTAGTTATGGAGAAAATGGAGAAGTTATGGAGGATGCCCACGTTTGAGGGTTAGTTTTATTTTTAATTGAATTTTCAGGTTTAACAAATTAAAAAAAAAAAAAACAGTCCAACAAACATGGGACTCAATAAAACGTGTAGATATAAATTGAATTGGAAGTTTCAAAATTTTTAAACTTCTTTTAACAAATAAGAAAAAACAGCCCAACAAATGAGGGACTCAGATGTTGAAACTGAATTAGCATATTTGAAATTTTGTATTTTAAATTATTGTTTAACCTCCAAATTAGTTGGAGGTTTGTCCTAAAATTGGACGCATGTTTAATTATTGTTTTAACACTTGGCGTAATAATATGAATTTGCTTCTCTTATTCTATAGAGATAGAATATAACACGTCGACCTTGGACGAGTCTCAGTGTGTTTGCTTTGATGGGAGGGAACGAAGGTATGAAGCGGTTGGAATATATTTCTCTCATATCGAAGGTGTGCAACGAGTTAGAACCTAATTTAGGTTTTGGCTACAAAGTATTAGCTGAATTTATTACTTATTCGGGTAGAAGTTGCTTAACAGTAGATGAATTTGATAGGAAATTGAAAGATAATGGTGCTGAAATCCCAGATTATTTTGTACGAACATTGCTTACTATTATCCATGCTATATTGCCTCCTCCTAGCACCAAGTCGAAGGATGGGGAGATTGAGCTTGAGGCGAAGAAGAGTAAGAGGAGAGATGGAGAGGAAGAAGAACGGGATGGGACTAGAACTAAGCCTAGGGCTAGGGATGCTGGTCATGATGATGGTAGAGCTGAACGTCATAGGGGTTCACATAGGCACAGGGACAGAGATGGAGATACATATGCAAAGGGCAAGAGAGCTGATGATTGGAGGAAGTCGACGCATCCTGTTATGGATGAGCCCGAGTTGTATACAGTATATAAGGGGAGGGTGTCAAGGGTGATGGATTCTGGTTGTTTTGTTCAGCTGAATGGCTTTAGAGGGAAAGAAGGTTTGGTTCACGTTTCTCAGCTTGCTAATACAAGGGTTAGTAACGCCAAAGGTTTAGTAAAGCGGGACCAGGATGTTTATGTTAAGGTTATCTCTATCAGTGGGCAGAAGCTGAGTTTGTCAATGAGAGATGTTGATCAGAATACAGGAAAGGATCTGTTGCCCTTGACGAAAAGCTCAGGTAATGCTGCAAATCCTTCAGGCATGAATATTGAGGGCTCTAGGACTAGGAGGATTGGCCTTTCCGGTATCAACATTACTGAGGCGGAGGAGCATGTTGTTCCGTCTTGTAGACCGCTGAAGAGGATGAGTTCACCTGAAAGGTGGGAAGCCAAGCAACTTATTGCCGCAGGTGTTTTGGGGGTGAGGGAACATATCATGTTTGATGAAGAAGGGGACGAGCTGCTATATCAGGAAGAAGGTGCTGAAGAAGAGCTTGAGATTGAGCTAAACGAAGACGAACCCCCTTTCTTGCAAGGCCAGAGTCGTTACTCAGTGGATATGTCCCCTGTTAAAATTTTAAAAATCCTGAAGGATCCTTGAGTCGTGCTGCTGCCCTACAATCTGCTTTGATAAAGGAGAGAAGGGAAGTAAGGGAGCAGCAACAGAGGACGATGCTTGATTCCATCCCAAAGGATCTCAACAGACCATGGGAAGACCCGATGCCAGAGACAGGAGAGAGGCATCTGGCACAAGAGCTGAGGGGTGTTAGTTTGTCTGCCTACGACATGCCAGAGTGGAAGAAGGATGCTTATGGTAAAGCCTTGACCTTCGGCCAGAGGTCTAAGCTATCCCTCCAGGAGCAGCGGCAGAGTCTTCCTATTTACAAATTGAAGAAAGAACTGATTCAGGCTGTCCATGATAATCAGGTCCTTGTCGTCATTGGTGAGACAGGTTCTGGCAAGACAACACAGGTGACACAGTATCTAGCTGAGGCAGGGTACACAACAAAGGGGAAAATTGGCTGTACTCAGCCTCGTCGAGTGGCTGCAACGTCAGTGGCTAAGAGAGTTGCTGAGGAGTTTGGTTGTCGATTAGGCGAAGAGGTCGGTTATGCTATTCGGTTTGAAGATTGTACTGGGCCAGATACTGTGATCAAATATATGACTGATGGCATGCTTCTGAGGGAGATTTTGATTGATGAAAATTTGTCCCAGTATTCAGTCATAATGCTTGATGAAGCACATGAAAGAACAATCCACACTGATGTTCTTTTCGGTTTGCTTAAGCAGCTTGTGAAGAGGAGACCTGACCTTCGTCTAATTGTCACATCTGCAACTTTGGATGCTGAGAAGTTTTCTGGTTATTTCTTCCACTGCAACATCTTTACAATCCCAGGAAGAACTTTCCCAGTAGAGATACTCTACACAAAGCAGCCAGAAAGTGATTACCTTGATGCAGCTTTAATTACTGTTATGCAGATCCACTTGACAGAACCTGAAGGTGATATCCTCCTCTTCTTGACTGGTCAAGAGGAGATTGATTATGCTTGCCAGTGCCTTTTCGAGAGGATGAAAGGACTAGGTAGAAATGTTCCTGAACTGATCATACTACCTGTCTATAGTGCCTTGCCCAGTGAAGTGCAGTCCAGAATTTTTGACCCTGCCCCTCCTGGGAAGAGAGAAGTTGTTGATGCTACTAATATTGCTGAAGCTTCTTTGACAATTGATGGTATATATTATGTTATTGATCCTGGATTTGCAAAGCAAAATGTCTACAATCCAAAACAGGGACTTGATTCACTGGTTATTACCCCAATTTCACAAGCATCAGCAAAGCAACGAGCAGGGCGTGCTGGACGAACCGGACCTGGGAAGTGTTACCGCCTGTTTACTGAGAGTGCATTCCACAGTGAAATGTCCCCTACTGCCATTCCCGAAATCCAAAGGATAAATCTTGGGAACACGGTTCTTATGATGAAAGCAATGGGTATTAATGATCTTCTGTCGTTTGATTTCATGGACCCACCTTCCCCCCAGGCTCTCGTATCTGCCATGGAGCAACTTTACACTCTTGGAGCACTCGATGAGGAGGGGCTCCTGACGAAGCTGGGAAGAAAAATGGCGGAATTTCCATTAGATCCTCCTTTGTCCAAGATGCTTCTTGCTAGTGTGGACCTTGGCTGTAGTGATGAGATCTTGACCATAATTGCTATGATTCAAACAGGAAACATCTTTTACCGACCAAGGGAAAAACAAGCACAGGCCGATCAGAAAAAGGCCAAATTTTTTCAGCCTGAGGGTGATCATCTTACCTTGCTTGCTGTTTATGAGGCTTGGAAAGCCAAAAACTTTTCAGGTCCATGGTGTTTTGAAAATTTTGTCCAGTCTCGATCTCTCAGGAGGGCGCAGGATGTTAGAAAACAGCTGCTCTCCATCATGGACAGGTATCAATTGGATGTTGTGAGTGCTAGAAAGAATTTCACGAAGATCCGGAAGGCTATTGCTGCAGGTTTCTTTTTTCATGCTGCTAGAAAGGATCCTCAAGAGGGTTACAGAACTCTTGTTGAGAACCAGCCAGTTTACATTCATCCTAGCAGTGCTCTTTTCCAGAGACAGCCAGACTGGGTTATTTATCATGAGCTTGTTATGACAACAAAGGAGTACATGCGCGAAGTGACCGTGGTAGATCCTAAATGGCTTGTCGAGTTGGCACCAAGTTTTTTTGAAGTGGCTGATTCAACGAAATTAAGCAAGCGCAAGAGACAGGAACGTATTGAGCCTCTTTACGATAGATATCATGAGCCAAACTCTTGGCGATTGAGTAAGAGGAGAGCGTGATTCTTTTTTTTCTATTTTCTTTTTTGTTCTGTGTTGGTTCAATCATCAATGAAATGCCCGCTGTTTGTTATTGTAAAGCGACATATATTTGGTCAATCTAAAGCAATTTGTCAATTGGAGCACTTCTTTCATGTAAGCTTTTTCCCGATATGATCTGTTATAGTTTTCACTCAAGTGGGCTCGATAAAAGTTTCTCTCAAAAGTGATTATAACCTCTCAGTTATGTGCTTTTGCAAGGGAAATTACTCTTGAATTGAACTTCAATTTTTTCCTGTTCTAAGGATGGATTGTTGGAATGACCCTTGAACTACTTTTTGACAGTAGGGGGGATATTAATACCATATAGAAATAGAAAAAAGAGATTTTTATTGTCCTCACATGGCAGTTTTGACATTTAGTTCTGAAGGTCTTTCTTTCGCTTATGTCTAGACCTTTATGTTCATTTCTCTCTTAGGTTTTCGTAGATCAAGCTATTTTTGAAGCGCTTTTTGGTAATGCATGTATTGGGGCTTTTCTCTACTCTTCCATTCTCTTTGTTTTCTCTCTCTGCCTCTCTCATTCCCTGCGAGGACAGTGTAATCGCATCAGTGAAATCACCAAAGGAGATTAGCAAGCACATATTGTCAAATTCATATCTGTTTGTGCTTCACAGAGGTAAGCATGTGAATGCGATGTTTCGGACCTCTCTCATCTAGCTTGAAGAATGCTTTGAGGTCATCTATTCAAGAAAGAATTTTGCTCTGTTGTGAGAATTTACTTAGATTTGGTTGATTCATCTACTTTTTCTTGTTATAGCAAAAGAAAAGAGGGTGGGGGGGTGGGGGGGATATTAAGCTAATGTTTACTGTGTCCTAAACGATCCTGAAGTTCCTGGGAATTGATATCTTTGTCTCCTTGGTGGTATTCTTCCGTTTTCCATTAAGCAATTTGACATTTCTTTTGTAAGAACTGCAGGTAGTACTACAATTTTGATCTAGAGATTGTCTTGAGGGTTTGGTTAGGGATCCATAAGATCCCGAGTTAAGGGATGAGACTGAGCAGATGATGTGAAAATGGTGAGCATTCTATTGGTTATGCTTGAGTTTCTTTCTTTAGTTTACCTCTACTTTCCGGGATCTATTTTCTTTAGACAATGGTGTACTAAATGCTCTATGGTGAGCGTTAATTGACCAGTTAATTATATAAAGTACCATTGTTTGCGAATTTTTTTCTAAGTCAAAAGTAAGAGCAAATTTTGTGTGGAGTAGCTTTGGACATGTCATTTATTTTCTATATATTTACTTCTTAAACTTTAGTTTCACAAGCCATAAATCTTCTGTTTGAGTTGTTGGAGGAATCCAATAAATATTCAAGAATTTTATGGATGCTCTTTCTTTGGCAATGGTATAATACATCGGCTAGAATGAATAACTAATAAAACTATGAGAGTGCGAGTAGAGTTCTTCCACTAGAATTTTCAGTGGTAAAATTCTATTCAGCAAACGAGCATCTGCTTGCAGGATTGCAGACATCTTGGATTTACCTGCGGCATGCCTATGGCGTTGGTTTGATTGAATTTTGTGATGCATTTCTTCCTTCCTTTTCTTCTTGGTGGGGAGGAGGGTAAATGCATTTGTGCTTCTGCATTTTACTCATTCCTGTTTTATGTCTTTCTTTGTTAATGTGAACTTGCTATCATTTTGGAAATTGGTGAGGAAAAAGGACCAGAACGCTTCAAATGTGACCCTGCTGGTGGTTTTTGTGGTCATAAGTTATTTTCTGAGCTTAATTTCCTTTTCAAGGTAAAAACTGATTTAAGTTTGTTCTTGCTTATAACTAGCTATGTGGTTTACTGCCTTTCACTATCCTGGTTCATGAAGTTAGCTGTGGCTGTTGCCCCTCGCCATTGTATCCTTATCAACTTCATTCATGTATAAATGCATGCCAGACTAGGAAAATGGATAAGTTAAGATTTTTAAGCATAAATGTAGTTCTTTGCTATATCATCTATTTTATTACACAAATCTCAAATTTGGAAGGTTGCCTCATCTTTTAGATCCTAATTGATTATGATGCAAGTTGGTCAAGATTGGTCCCTTTGACTTGTAAAATATGGCCCACGTGAGTATTTTGGTTTAATATAAATATATTTTGTTAAATTAATATTTGGATAAAATTAGGGGAAGTTAATTATGGTCATAACTCCCCACTAACCCACTTTGATAGAAAGTGGGGGAAGTTAATTATGGTTATAACTCCCCACTAACCCACTTTGATGGAAAGTGGGAATTAACTGATGGTCCCTCTCTCTGCCTATTAAAAGGAAGAATAGCGTACTCCATCTATTCTATTCTGAAAAGAACATAGAAAAGGAAAAGAGAGAGAAATACTGATTTTCTCAAGAACAGCAACTCTGAAGAAGACTTCTGCTCAATTTAATTAAGAAAACACATCATAGATTCAAGTAAGTTTTCTTAATTGAAGTTATTGTATCTCTATTTTATGTGAAAATCATATAGTTCCACGGTTCTGAATAATTGAAAGGATTTATATAGATTGTTTATAAATCACAATCTAGAATTGAGAAAATCCTAATATGTGGTATCAGAGCACAGGTTTAGGAACTAATAATTTTTCGCTAAAATTAAGGTTTCCTTAATTTTGTGAATCCTAATTGTGTATTCAAGGAACTTCACAATTACTGTCAATAGTAATAGCGAAGCAGATATAAATTGATTTTTATGTGTTGATGACCAATAGTATATTTGATTATCATTTGATTTCATGATCCTGTTCTCTTTGTGGATTCGACAAGTAAAAGATTTGCTTCAAATACTTGACTTCATAATTAGTAAGTAAACGTGAAATTGTGAAAACAATATTCATCACGCTAGTTAGACACAGTAGAATACTTATGAATTTATTGGATTCGCCGATGTGGATTCAATGATAAAATCCAAACTTAAGAATTATATTTGGAAGAATACCGTTTCAAAATTTCATTGGAATTACAAACATGAGGTTCGTTAATCACCAAAGTGATCGAATCATTATGAATAACTAATTCCAAAAAATAATGATTTGTTATACCCAATTACCCATAACTTTTGATGTTTATAAACGACATGATGGATATTTTTGTGGGCAAATTGAAGTTCTTGATTATAAGACATTTATGGATCGCCCAAAGGTTGATTGTTTGTTCTTATAATTACTAAACATTAAATCGATAATTTAAATGTATCGTTAGTTTTATTTATTTATCCAAAGATAGTAAATACTACTAACTTGTACGTTAAAATTATCGAATTATGTAAAATTTATTTTAAGCATCATTATGTTCAAAAAAATATATTTTGTGTTACGCCCAAAGGTGGACATCAATATACATTTAAGAGTAAAACATAAACCATTCTGAATTTAACGATATATTTAATTTTAACTCAAAGCATTAATGAATGGGCATATTTTATTTGCAGCACTTGCTCTTCATTCGCACTCCGCTTCTGTTACGACCTTTAACGGACTCAACTTCTCAGATTGGTGCGAACAGATAAAATTCCATCTTGGAGTTTTAGATCTTGATGTTGCACTTTATACTGAGAGGCCAACAGCTATTACTGAAACTAGTAGTACTGAAGAAAGGTCCTATTTTAAGCACTGGGACAGGTCTAACAGATTAAGCCTAATGTTTATACGAATGAATATTGCGGGCAACATTAAGACTACTCTTCCCAAAACTGAAAGCGCGAAAGAACTTCTGAAACTTGTGGAAGAATGCTCTCAAACTGCTGATAAGTCTCTTGCTGGGACACTAATGGGTACTTTAACCACCATAAAATTTGATGGTTCGCGTACCATGCATGAGCATGTCATTGAAATGACAAATATAGCAGCAAGACTTAAGACTTTGGGAATGGAAGTGGATGAGAATTTCCTTGTTCAATTCATTATTAACTCATTACCATCTGAGTATGGCCCTTTCCAAATGAACTACAACACCATGAAAGACAAATGGAACGTGCATGAACTGCACGGTATGCTGGTTCAAGAGGAAACAAGGCTGAAGAATCAAGGAACCCACTCCATTAATCTTGTAGGCCATCAAGGAGCTGGAAAGAAAGGAGAGAAACATGGAAAAGTTAAGCAGAGGCAACATAATGTCAATGAGTCCTCTTCTCAAGTACGTAAGAAGGAACACAAGAATGATAAGTGTCGTTTCTGTGGAAAACCTGGACACTTTCAGAAAGATTGCCTGAAACGTAAGGCATGGTTCGAGAAGAAAGGTAAGCCTTGTGCTTTTACGTGCCTCGAATCAAATTTAACTGAAGTTCCTTATAATACTTGGTGGATTGACTCTGGTTCTACTGTTCATGTTTCTCATACGATGCAGGGATTCCTTACAACCCAGACCATAAATCGGAATGAAAGATTTGTGTACATGGGGAATAGAGTGAAGGCTCCAGTTGAAGCTGTCGGGACTTATCGTTTAATCCTAGATACTGGGCGTCACTTAGACTTATTTGAAACTTTTTATGTACCTTCTCTTTCAAGAAATTTAATTTTCTTGTCTAAGTTAGATAAAGCTGGATATTTTTTAAATTTTGGCAATGGATGTTTCAGTTTGTTTAAGCATAATCATCTTATTGGTTCTGGTATTATTTGTGATGATCTCTACAAATTGAACCTTGATAATCTGTTTGCCGAAACCCTCCTAACTCTGCATCATAATGTTGGAACCAAACGTAGTTTGGTGAATGAACATTCAGCTTGCTTGTGGCATAAACGTTTAGGTCACATATCCAAAGAAAGACTGAAAAGGCTAGTTAAGAATGAAATCCTTCCACATTTAGATTTTACAGACCTTAATATTTGTGTGGATTGTATTAAAGGAAAACAAATAAAACACACAAAGAAAAGAGCCACAAGAAGCACTCAGCTTCTTGAAATTATACACACTGATATATGTGGTCCTTTTGATGTCACTTCTTTCAGTAAGGAAAGATATTTTATCACCTTTA